TGTGTGTGTGTCTTTCTGGTGAGTGTACGTGCCCTATAGCAAAAACCTCTCCAAAAGAAGAAAAAAAAAAAATCCTGACAGGATGGAAAAATGGGGGGGAGGGCATTGCAGAATGAACACACCCCACTGAGGAGTCCTTTCTCCTTCTGTCTGTCTCTCTGGCCCACATACACACCCTCTGGCAATTTAAAGAAGAAAAGAAAGAAACTTGTCAGTGAGAACCCCAAGAAGCTGAGACTCCCTAAAAGCATTTGCATTACACAGCATATCATTTCCATAACCCTGAAATTAAGTCAAGAGAAAAGAACCCATAAGGTCCGTGTAGGTCTGTGGCTTTGGTATGCTGGTATAGGTGGAGACTGATCATCCTGGGAGAATGCCACCTCTGCCCTGAATCAGTTCTGCATATTGTGCATTCGTTGGGCCATTACACTGCGGTTGAACAAGTCATGGTTGCTACCCTTGGAGAGAGTTTACTGTCTATCCATGAAAATAGATGTGCCATGAGGACTCATGAGTGTGTGAGAGCTCATCATAGTCCTGAGCAGCTAGAAACACTTGGTTTGGAAGATTTGGGGTGGCTTTGGGTAACTGAATGCAAGGTGGTTCTAAGGTACTTAATCAAAGTGACAGATGCTCTAGGCTGGGTGCTAAAAGCCATAATCCATGACTTTTAGTTTTGTCAAGATGATACAAGATGATATTGTCATCTCTCATAATTGAAAAGCCCTTTCTTGATGCAATTCATAAACCATGTATCAAATTCACCTTTTGTGTACTAATTTGTGTTTTTTTTAAGATGTCTTTGGTGGATGAATTAAAAACCTGGTGCATGTTAAAGATTCAGAATCTGGAGCTGAAGCTTTCCGGAGATTCTAGGGCCTTTAGGGCTAAATCCACACCATCTACTTGCGAGTCTTCTACAGGTAACCCAGATGTAGAGAGTCCTTTGGTCCACAGGTTACACAACCCCCAGATCTTGTTCTCTCCTGCATCTCAGTGCACTCCATGTAAAAGGGGTGAGGATCATGTTTAACTCACAGCCTTAAGCTGGTTTCCTATGTGGTAATAAAACACTCTTACAGAAGTGCTCAAACATATGTGAATAAACGAATACAAGAATTGCTGATAGGTTACAGTGCTTCAGGTAGTGTTGATGGTGTAAGAGTCAGCACTAAAGATGACAGGTGACAAGTGATCATATGCCTTCTCAGCAGGGTGCTCTCCCTCGCCCTTTGTACCTTGTCTCCCAGATATGCCTTTTACCTTTATCCAGCTGTGCAAAACCTCAGTCAAGAAAAGGTCATGGGGGCTGGCAGGTGGCATGGTGGTTAAGGCAGCTGGACTCCCACATGGCTGACCATGGTTTGAATCCTGGACCTGGCAGCTTCCTTTCTGACTTTCCTTCTCTCTCTGTCTCTGGTCAACTTCAATAAAATAAAATAAGTAATAATGACAATTTAAAAATTAAATAAAATTTTAAAAAAAGAGAGAAGGTCATGTGTTAAACTCACCCCAGGTTCTACAAAAGAAATGCTTCCAGCAAAGCCTTTTTACATTAGACAGTGATTACACTCAATGGTAACTTGGAGGGTATCTGAAGCTTTAGTAATTAGGCCTCAGTTGGGGAGTTTAAGTGTTTTATGTTACCACAAGCCATGTCTGGAACTGTGGTTTTACCTTCCTTGTGCCAACAACATTGGGAAATATCCTGGACAAGTTTTTCATGTTAGAACCAGTCCTGAGGCTTGTCATGGAGTTCTGGGTATGGGGAATGGGACGACCTTTTCCATGGGGATTAACAGAGAATTCATTCTCATAAATATGCAGTTCTCAGACTCTTGCTGAGCTGTCATCTTTAAGCAGCAGGAAATGGGACCCAGAGCCTTCTAAGGTAGATTGAGGCAGGCCAAAGGAAAGGCCAGTAACTTTTCTGGCTACAATGCCACCAGTGTGGCTAACACAGAATCCAAGGAAGCCCCAACAGCCATGATAGGGCAGATGAAATAGAAGGAGTAGATAGGAAGGTGAGAAAAACCAGAGGAGGACTTGCACATGGGTGGCGAGTGAGAAGGCTGCTGTTTACAGGGTTCTCAGGACTCTCAGCCATGTGACTGAGAACAGTAGATTTGTTCTGATGTGTTTGTTTTCCTTCTGACACCAGGTGTGGATCAGTCAGTGATGACTGCAGGTCCTGCAGCAGCTTCTGACAGTTCCCCGCAGGTGGTCAGGCCCAAGGAAAAGGGCCTCAATTCTGCTGCTACCCACAAACTGCAGCAGGAGCTCTCTTCCTCTGACTGCACAGGCTCCCGACTGAGGAACGTCAAGGTCCAGACAGCCATGCTACCCTTGAGTGAGGCAGCCAAATGTGACCTGCAGGCTGGGCCCTGTGTCAACAGAGGCACCCAAACCAAGAAGTCTGGGAAGAGTGGGCAGACAAGGCATCGAGCCCAGCAGCCAGCATCTGGTGGGCAGCCGCCGCCTACAACAGGCAGCGAGCAGGCTGCCCCTCACGTTCGAGACACCTCCCAAGCTCTGGAGCTTACCCAGTACTTTTTTGAGGCAGTTTCTACCCAGATGGAAAAGTGGTATGAACGGAAGATTGAAGAAGCTCGAAGCCAAGCCAGTCAGAAAGCCCAGCAAGACAAGGCTACGCTGAAGGAACATATTAAAAGTTTAGAAGAAGAACTCGCTAAACTAAGGACTAAGGTGCAGAAGGAAAATTAGTACCTGGAAAGTAGAACAAGAAAGGATTCTTGAGGATTTCCTGTTTTGCAGAATAGCTATGCCGAAAGAGTCAATTATGTATACATAGCAGATTTGCTTTAAAAAATCACTAATTCCTAAAATGTGCCAGATATGCCCTGAAGTTATGAAAACTTCAACAATTAAACTGAAACCAGGGGAAGCTTGCTTAGTTTCAAGTTTCATTACAAACTCTAAACCTCAGTCCAGGTTCACCCGAAGTTCAAAAGCTCAGATTAATAAGCAAACTACACTAAGAAACTGAATGCATAAGCCTAAACCCTAAAATTCAGGATGTGAGAAATAATATGTCAAAGGCAAGAAAAAAATAAGAACCTGTGAATTCAAGTAGTTATTCATATGTTGGGTTGTCAGAAGTCATGATGCATTTTTGCATAGAAAAATGGAAAAAATACATCATGACTTTTACAACAACCCAATAAATTTGAACACACCTGCTGTGCCTAGACAAGAGTGTTTTTGTAGAGAGTTGTAATTCTGAGTTGTGGTAGACCCTTTTTCTGAAACTCATAATTCTCAAAACACTTGACAGCTGAACCAGGTAAACATTTACCAGATTTTCAGAGAAAAGGTTTTCATGATGTCGCAAGATTCAATATATCTTAAATTTTTTGAAAAGTCAGAATTTCTTTAATAAGTAATTGGCTGCAGCACTGGGAATAATTGTTTTAAATCTTTTACATTCCTTTTATAAGAAAGACAAAGACAAGCACCCTTAACGTGATTTCACGCCATGATCCTCCCCCAAGCCTTCTCAGCCAGCCAGGATTACAGGCACATGTGCACGTGCTGGGGGTGTACAGGTCAGCCTTAGCACCAAACCCCTCCTCTATATGGCTGTCAGCATTGCAGACCCACATGCCACTACTGCCACACAGCAGAGGGGCTTGGAAATGTGTTAACAATGAGCTCAGAAAAGGTTTAAATTATTTGACTACGGTCAGCCAAAATATTATTATCAGTGACGTTAAAGCAGATTTACAGAGAAAACATTCAAGTAACAACTACTTGAGAAGCCGGCAGGTGGCGTGGTGATTAAGGTTGCTGGACTCCCACATGGATGGGCAGCTTGCTTTCTCACTTTCCTTCTCTCTCTCTCTCTCTCTCTGGTCAAATTAAAATAAACAAAATAAAGTGATTCTTATTTTTAAAAATTACCTGAAATTTCTATAACCCATTCCTAATTAAACCCAGTATCTTGGAGTACCTTTCCAAATTTGAGATTGATCTATAGTATATAAAGAAATAAGCCTATTTCTTGAAAGTATTTTGTTAGTATCTTAGAGTACCTTTCCGAATTTGAGATTGATCTATAGTATATAAATAAGCCTATTTCTTGAAAGTATTTTGTTTCTCGAGAGAGTGAGCAAGTGAATCCCAAATATGTTCCTTATTCTGAGCCACCCCCAGTCACAGCCAGCCTGGGTCACAGGCCATGTGTATGTCCTGTGTGCAGAGGGAGGCCCAGGGAGGTGACCTTGTATCTTCCCATGTGGGTACAGTTGCATTACCACTGTGCCACTGTCTGGCCTCAAATTATCTCATTTTGAATTGAGTTTTGTCACAGAAGAACCTCAAAACCTCTGCAGTCCTTTGTGGTGACCATGTCAAGGTAGATAATTCAGTAACTTGAGTCAAATCCCACTGTTCTACAGCTTCACTGAGCCCTCAAGACTGCTCCAAAATGAAATACAAACACAGAAACTAAGTTGTAGAAGCGCCTGGATATGTTGAAATCTTGAACTTAAATTATCTTCCACGCTTCTTGTCCCTTGGAATGTAGGACTATATTAATCTCCTCAAAGTTCCATGTATGCATAGAAACTTGAATTCTATTTCTGTAAACACAGGAACCTAGTAACTATTGTTCATAATTGTGAACAAAGTGCTCCTCATAGAGCCAAAGAGAAAATAATGACATGAAAAAAACAAGAAAAACAAAAAGTATGCTTTTAGCCCCTTTGTCAAGCTGTTTTGGATTTTAAAATGTGATGATCCACAGATATGTACATTCCTTTAAAAAAATAATTCAGTAGATGCATGTCAACAGAACCTAAATATGGAATGAATTTGATGTTATCTCAAGTTGATTCTCATGTGTTTGAAAGTCTGTCTTGCTCCTTCGCCACTGTATAGGTAGACAGTCCATCCCACACCCCTCACTCTAGCTGGATTGTTAATACAGAGGCACTTTCTTTTCATTTCTGCATTTGAATCTGTTCCTAATGCAGAATCAGGATTGTAGGGCTCAATGGTATCTTCAATTTTCTAAGTCAGTTCCCAACAAGATATCACTTAACACCTTTAGAAGCATTCCTTGGTATGCATCAGTTTATCGAGACTTCCTTACAGTCAGAGAAGGAATCTTAAGTTCAGTAAGTCATATTCCAAACAGGAATTATTTTCACTTATAAAAATAGCTATTACCTCAAGATATCCTTCTTAAGAAATGCTCAAAACAAATTTTAACTATCCACTCTAAACCAGAGTGCTTTGATGGATGTTTTGATAATATACTCCCTACATCAGGCAGCTGACCATTGTGAACTGTGTATTTCTATCAAGTCACAGAAAAGAGACTAGCAATCAGAAAGGGCAAAAGGACCTTTTCTGGAAGATGATGTGGACCTTGTCTCTGAGCAGTCTTGTCACAGAAGAGAAAACCAAGAGGCAAAGAAATCAAACCCAGAAATGGCAACATCTTAAGTAAGACCAATGCAATAGCTTTTTATTTTCAACATGGTGTTTGGTCTATTTTTGTTCCTTGGCATTGTCAAAAACTTAACTACAGGTCCAGTGTATATTTTTCTCGTTTAGTTATCTGCTAAAATAAGTAAATGCAACTGTACTCTTCCAAAGAAAGAGAACTACTAACAATTTTCAGTGTCTTCTAGGTTATGTTTTAAAGTGTGGTTGAAATTTTAAATAGCTGTAGGAAAAATGATGTAAAAAACAGAACAGTTGTATAATATTGTAGTGTTTTGTTTTTAATTATAGTGTATTACTGAATTGAGTCTACAGCGATAGACTGAATATATTAGTTCTAATCTTACTTTTGACTTTGGGAGCCCAAAATAAAAGAAGTGATGTTTTCCAGTTTATACCTTTTTTGAGTCAACTGTTGATATACTTGAGAGTAAATTATTTGCCTTCTATTTAATATTTTTATCATCTTGAATTCATGTTTCTTCCAAGCATTAAACATTATTCTCGATACTATGGGTCTTAAGTTCCTTATTTACAAAGTGGAAGTATAAATAATCTGTGTAGCCTGTATTTTCATTTGTTGTGGTTGATCAAATGTTATGGTTCCTGAGACTGCCTTCATCCAGCCTTACTTTACAGTGTGTCTATAAAAATGTAATTTAGCGACCAGCAGGTGGCGTGGTGGTTAAGACGCTGGACACTCTCACATGGCCGATTGGGGTTCAAGTCTTGGACCTGGTGGCTTGCTTTCTCACTTCCTCTCTCTCACCCTCTATCTCTCTCTGGTCAAACTGAAAAAAATTCAATGAATGAATAAATGAAAAATAAAATAATTATTTTTTAAATGTAATTTAAAGTAAAGACTCTTGCTTTAAAGTCCAGAGCAGGTGTAACACACCAAAGCAAAAATTAAACTGCTGTTAATGTGGAAAGATTTCTCACTGTAAGCTTAACCAAATGTTTAAACTGTTCACTATTCAGAAAACACTGGACAAAGGTGATGGACAAAACATCATTTGTAATAGTTCAATAATATGAGAGCCAAGATACTATCCTTTTTGTTTGTTTTTTGGTTATGGAGCACGTGCACTCTCCAGAGGGAGATGGAAAGAGAAAGTGAGAAATCACCCCCACCCCAGGGGGATGGCCACTTCACAATTCCCTCTCCTACATCCTCCTCTCAGGATTTTGGGCACGCACACCCATGGTCTTGGAATGTTTTTCAGGATGTCAGATCTGGGACTCAAACTGCGTAACTGCTCATGTGGGATCCAGCCACCTTAACCTCCATGTCACCTGGTGACCCCAATAATATACTTTTTGAGTAATAAATTGCTCCTAAAAGTTATTTACAGTTTCTTCCTGTTAAATGTGGATAATAAAAGTCAGTCAAGAGTTAAGATATAACCTTAGAGGAGTTTTTATCTCTGTGAATTCTATATAAACAAAACTACAGTATAAAATTTTTTTTTAAAAAAAGTTAAAATGGGGGATCAGCAGTTAGCATAATGGCTATGTCACTGGACTCCCATGTAGTCGACCGCGGGTTGAGTCCCGGACCTGGTGGCTTAAACTCATTCCTAGAGCGTGTGTGTGCATGCCCAAGATCCCTGGAGGAGAATGGAGAAGGGATTGCGGTGTGGCCATCCCCCCTGGGGGGGAGATTTCTCACTTTCTATCTCTCTGTCTCTCTCTTTCTGGCGAGCGCACATGCCCTGTAGCAAAAACCTCTCAAAAAAAAAAAAAGTTAAAAGGGGACCAGCAGTTGACATAATGGCTATGTTGCTGGACTCCCATGTAGTCAACCATGGTTCACGTCCCGGACCCGGTGGCTTAAACTTGGGCCGTGAGTATGTGCATGCGTGTCCAAGATCCCGAGAGAACGGGCCGTGAGTATGTGCATGTGTGTCCAAGATCCTGAGAGAATGGAGGAGAAGGGATTGTGGCGTGGCCATCCCCCCAGAGGGATGATTTCTCGTTTTCTGTCTCTCTGTCTCTTTCTGGTGAGTTCACAGGCCCTATAGCAAAACCCTCCCCCAGATAAAAAAAACAAAAGAAGACAAAAAATTGGGGGGAAAAAGAAAGAAAAAGTTAAAAGAAGGGCCGGCAGGTGGTGGTGTGGTTAGGGGCACTAAACTCCCACATGGTGGACTGCGGTTCAAGTCTTGGACCTGGCAGCTTGCTTTCTCACTTTGCCCCCTCTCTCTTTTTCCCTCTCTGTCCTCTCTGATTAAAATAAATAAATAAAATAATTCTTTTTTAAAAAAGGTAAAAAATAACACCAGTTTAAGAAAGAACCTTTCAGAATCCCTTTATAAATAAGACTAAAACATAGCAATATCTTATTTGTTAATTGCATTTAAGAGGAAATACTTTCTCTTAACTATTAAGTCAAATGCCAATACATAGGAGACACACACAAAACACAATGCAATATTTTTATGCAGGTGAAAGTATATAAAATTTATACCTTTCTGTAAACAAAAATGATAAAATTAACCCTAATGTATTTTACTTCTGTTATTGGGAAGTAGCCTGTCTCTCTGCAGGTACATCTACAACAATGCTTGTATCATGAACTTTAAATTTTCAAGCTGATGGCACATGTCAAAACGGGGAATGATATAGGGGCAATCAATGTTATACTATAATTAGCCTTAGCAATTTCTGTTAAGCTCCAAAGCTTTTTGTACTTAAAAAACAAAACAACACAACAAAAAACACACAACTTAATATAGATGTTCCTTGATTCAAGATGGGGTTATATCCTGGTAAACCAACCATATACAATCAGTTAAAAATGCATTAATAACCTCATAAACATATAAAATCAAAAAGTCTTAAGTCAAACCATTGTAAGATGAAAACTACCTTTATAAAAGGATTGGTTTACTGTAGTTCAAATGCCTAATATTCATTCAAACATTTTAAGTTTTTTTTTTTGAGAGTTTTGTCATAGGGCACATGCATTTGCCGGAGAGACAGAGACAGTGAGAAATCACCCCTGCAGTGGGGACGGTCACACCACAATCCCTTCTCCTTTCAGGATTTAGGGCATGCACGCACATGTACCTGGCATGAGTTTTTAGTCACCAGGTCTGGGACTCAAACCGTGGTCAACCATGTGGGAATCCAGCGATGTAACTATTATGCCATATGCTGGTCCCAAAATAACCGAAGTTTAACATTCAAATAGAAGTGGTTTCCAGAGAACATCCAGAAAAATTTGTCACCTAATCTAGAATACTGATAAAAATCATTTCATGATAAATAAAACGTGTTTCACCAGCCCTTCTATTCTGGTTAAAAGAAGGGACTGGCAGGTGGCGTGGTGGTTAGGGGCACTGAACTCCCACATGGAGTCCAGTCATCATTCTAATGATTTTGGTTCTATACCCGAGAAGAAATTGCTAAATATGTCTTAAGTTAATCAAGATTTGACTAGTAATTCAGAAGGGATAATCAAAACAAATGAGTGAACAAATTAAACTGTTCTTTAGAGATGAAGGTAAAAGCATGTCTATTATGGTAATTTTATCCTTTTAAAGATAACTCAATATTCTCTATTTTAAAAAACAAAACCATGGGGTCAGCAGGTAGCATGGTGGTTGGGGTGCTGGACTCCCACATGGCTGACCACAGTTTGAGTCCCAGACCTGGTGGCTCCCTTTCTTGCTTTGTCTATGTCTCTCTCTGAGTGCACATGTCCTGTAGCAAAATTAAAAACTTTAATAACGATAAATAATTTTTTAAAAAACAAACTGCAACATAGGTGTTTTTGGAGTCTGTGATGTTTATTTCTTGCAAACTGAAACTATTAATACACACACTCATTTAAGTTCTTCATGTATCCCACTATCAGGAAGAACATCACCAAAAGTCATTGGCTTCAATACATTATAAAAGGAGTTTTTTTAAAAGATTTTGGATTTAATAACAATAGCCTATAAAGGGACCAGCAAGTGATGTGGTGGTTAAGGTGCTGGACACTCCCACATGGCAGACCACAGTTCAAGTCCTGGACCTTGTGCCTTGCTATCTCATTTCTGCTCTCTCTCTTTCTCTCTGTGTGTCTCTCTGTCAAATTAGAATGAATAAATAAAATTAATTTTAAAAAAAGGAAAGAAAAACCCAATAGCCTATATTTAAGTATGTATCAGTCAAACCACACACATTTCCAAAGTGTTCTCTGTTCTAAAACTGTTTACGAATGCTTCTCCTGTTTGTCTGATCATTTTGCAGTAGGTTGATTTATAACTATATAAAAGCCTGAAAACTGTCTCATGTAAGCATTTTGCATTGGGAGATTACCACTATGAAACAGTATTCAGAATGATTTCGTCTTGGGGGCTCAGTTATGCGGAGATGGGAGTGGCCTTTGGCAGTTATCAGCATGGCCACCATCAGTTTATACCTCTCCTCTGGCATACACTGCAGTACTAGATAACCATTTATTACTCTGCAAAATTCTGTACTTTTTAAGTGCTAGTCAGATTCTTAGATTAGCTTCTTGGCTCTGTTTCTTTGATGAGCACAGGACTTGTGTGTTTTGAACTGCAAATCTCAGCATCTTCCACAAACTTTCACACATTCGATGAACTTAATTGTATCTTATAAATGTCTTTTTCAAGTGTCCTGAAATGAACTTTGTAATACATTTATCTCTGATGTATTCTTCAAATTCTCTCCATTTTTTCCTGTCATTGGAGGAGAACCTACAGCACTAAAGACCTTCTATGATTTCTTTACTTTCCACATGGATGTTGAAGTAACTGCAGAAGATTCATTCGGAATTGCTGAAGAGTTTTCCCTCTTCTCATTGCTAAGTGCTTCGATAAGTTTCTCATCTTCCCAACATATTCCAAATTACGCAGTGGTGATTGTTTTGGAGAGTCCTCTTATCAAATCATGACCTATCCAAAGAACAAACCTCATCAACTCTGAGAAGTAACGCTAGAGAATTTTTTAAGAAAGATCTAAGGTATGTCCTGGGGTCAGTCCTACATCTCATAATGCTTTTTAAACCCATTTTATTAAAAATATAATTCCTTTACTATATTTAAAATGTGTAATTCAGTGGATTTGAGCATATTCACAGAGCTGTGCAACCAACACCATAATCTAACTTTAGGATATTTTTAAAAGAAACTCCACACATGAGGCATTACTCTCCATTCCATCCACAACCACTAATCTTTCTGTTTATTCTGGACATGTCATGTGAATGGAATCACATAATACATAATCTTTTGTGACTGGTTTCTTTCATTTAATAATATTTTCAATATTCAGCCATGTGTAGCATATCCCAATCCTTCATTCCTTTTTAATGCCAAATAATATTTTATTGTATGACTATACCATATACTTATCTACTTATCAGCTGATGAGCATTTGGACTGTTTCCATTTTTTTGGCTTTTACGAATGCTAATGCTATGAACATTCATGTACAAGTCTTTTACAGACACATTTTCAATTCTCTTGGTTACAGACCTCAGAGGAGAATTGCTAAATTATATGGTAACTTTTTTTTTTACTTTATTTATTTTTAATTTGACCAGAGACAAAGAGAGAGAGACAGACAGACAGACAGACAGACAGACAAAGCAAGCTGCCAAGTCTGGGACTCAAACCATGGTTGGCCATGTGGTAGTCCAGTGCCTTTAACCACCACACCACTTGCTGGCCCCAGTAACTTTATAGTTAACCTTCTGAGGAGTGATAGTCTGTTTTCCAAACTGGCTGTTCCATTTTATATTCCCGCTAGCAGGGTTCCAATGTCTCTCTATCTTCACCACATTTGTTATTATTTACCTTTTTAATCTCTCTTTCTCTCTGTGTGTCTCTCTGTCAAATTAGAATGAATAAATAAAATTAATTTTAAAAAAAGGAAAAAAAAAACCAATAGCCTATATTTAAGTATGTATCAGTCAAACCACACACATTTCCAAAGTGTTCTCTGTTCTAAAACTGTTTACGAATGCTTCTCCTGTTTGTCTGATCATTTTGCAGTAGGTTGATTTATAACTATATAAAAGCCTGAAAACTGTCTCATGTAAGCATTTTGCATTGGGAGATTACCACTATGAAACAGTATTCAGAATGATTTCGTCTTGGGGGCTCAGTTATGCGGAGATGGGAGTGGCCTTTGGCAGTTATCAGCATGGCCACCATCAGTTTATACCTCTCCTCTGGCATACACTGCAGTACTAGATAACCATTTATTACTCTGCAAAATTCTGTACTTTTTAAGTGCTAGTCAGATTCTTAGATTAGCTTCTTGGCTCTGTTTCTTTGATGAGCACAGGACTTGTGTGTTTTGAACTGCAAATCTCAGCATCTTCCACAAACTTTCACACATTCGATGAACTTAATTGTATCTTATAAATGTCTTTTTCAAGTGTCCTGAAATGAACTTTGTAATACATTTATCTCTGATGTATTCTTCAAATTCTCTCCATTTTTTCCTGTCATTGGAGGAGAACCTACAGCACTAAAGACCTTCTATGATTTCTTTACTTTCCACATGGATGTTGAAGTAACTGCAGAAGATTCATTCGGAATTGCTGAAGAGTTTTCCCTCTTCTCATTGCTAAGTGCTTCGATAAGTTTCTCATCTTCCCAACATATTCCAAATTACGCAGTGGTGATTGTTTTGGAGAGTCCTCTTATCAAATCATGACCTATCCAAAGAACAAACCTCATCAACTCTGAGAAGTAACGCTAGAGAATTTTTTAAGAAAGATCTAAGGTATGTCCTGGGGTCAGTCCTACATCTCATAATGCTTTTTAAACCCATTTTATTAAAAATATAATTCCTTTACTATATTTAAAATGTGTAATTCAGTGGATTTGAGCATATTCACAGAGCTGTGCAACCAACACCATAATCTAACTTTAGGATATTTTTAAAAGAAACTCCACACATTAGGCATTACTCTCCATTCCATCCACAACCACTAATCTTTCTGTTTATTCTGGACATGTCATGTGAATGGAATCACATAATACATAATCTTTTGTGACTGGTTTCTTTCATTTAATAATATTTTCAATATTCAGCCATGTGTAGCATATCCCAATCCTTCATTCCTTTTTAATGCCAAATAATATTTTATTGTATGACTATACCATATACTTATCTACTTATCAGCTGATGAGCATTTGGACTGTTTCCATTTTTTTGGCTTTTACGAATGCTAATGCTATGAACATTCATGTACAAGTCTTTTACAGACACATTTTCAATTCTCTTGGTTACAGACCTCAGAGGAGAATTGCTAAATTATATGGTAACTTTTTTTTTTACTTTATTTATTTTTAATTTGACCAGAGACAAAGAGAGAAAGAGAGACAGACAGACAGACAGACAGACAGACAAAGCAAGCTGCCAAGTCTGGGACTCAAACCATGGTTGGCCATGTGGTAGTCCAGTGCCTTTAACCACCACACCACTTGCTGGCCCCAGTAACTTTATAGTTAACCTTCTGAGGAGTGATAGTCTGTTTTCCAAACTGGCTGTTCCATTTTATATTCCCGCTAGCAGGGTTCCAATGTCTCTCTATCTTCACCACATTTGTTATTATTTACCTTTTTAATGATAGCCATTCCAGTGGATTTGAAGTAATATCTCATTGTGCTTTTGATTTTCCTGATAATTGTGTTGAGGGCTATTTCACATGCTAACTGGCCATTTTTTATAGTGGCTTTTGCATCTTACAAAAATTGCTGACACATCCAGCAACATTTTTAAAACACAGAGTAAGTTTTTCAGTGCTAAGGCAATTGTTCTGATGTGCTTTCTTTTTCTCTTGCAGACCTACCATGCTCCATCTTCTGGTATTTTTTCCAAATGCTGTATATACATGTAAACAGTTTGACTTGACTTTGGGTTGCCCACTGTTAAACCTAATTTCAACAAAACATGTGGAGATTTTGAAAATCCTTCAGAATAATCCAGTACTTAAGATTTTGCTAAAGCAAGTGTTTTTTCTAACTCCTTGAGTTGCATATTTCCATGAGTAATCATCATCCGGATTGTATCCTGTAGAAGAAAGTGAAATCTGGTCACTGCTTTACCTGGTTAAACAAGGTTCAGCTCTAATATTTTGTTAAAATCAAGAACCAATACTGGGGCCCAGCCCTGCAGCACAGCTGTTAAGCAGTGTGCACAACAGCCAGATCCTACATGGCCAACTGTGGTTTGAGTCCTGGCCCTGGTGGCTTAAAAAACACACCAGGTATATGTGTATGCATGCTCAAAATCCTGATGGGGTGGAGAAATGGAGGAAAGGACTGCTGCGTGACCACACCTCACTGAGAGGGATGCTTTCTCTTTCAGGCGTGCACATGCCTTCTAGCAATTTAAGAAAGCAAAATAAACATACAATACTGGAAACTGGAATATACACATACATATGTGGTACAGCATAAAAGGGGATGCTATTGAAAAAAGCAACATTAAAATACCATTTTGGTGAGTAGAAATCAGTAACATTACAAGCAACAGCCAAGGTACACCATTTTGGTGACTTTTATATGCTGTCTGCTTAAATGTTTTTTTAAGATTCACTGATCAATACAAGACTTTTGGCCATCCTCACCAAGACCTTGTTCTCACCTCTTCTGTGGCACTTTTGTTTTTTTTGAATTCTTCCCTTGCCCAGTCCTTCAGGTATTTGCGATCAGAATCACTTGGAACTTGCCGAATGGCTTGCAAAATCCTTCTGTACAGGAGGAGAACTTGTTGCCTTCTCATGAACTATATGAGTTAGGAGAAATGACCATTACAATTGTACAGCCACCATCCTGGACAGCGCACCAAACTGTAACCAGATTTCTCGTTGGTCCTTAACATTTTTATTTTTTTAATGACAGCGGCAAGATCATTCGGGTTGTTTGCTTACTTCGTTGTCAAACATAAGCACTCTTAAACAAGAGCTGACTTGCCACAAGAAAAAGAACAGCCTATTCTCTCTTTCGGCTACAACAGCAGCACTTTTCTAAACGAACGCAGCTGTCCAACTTTGATAATTTTATCTGCTGTCTACCACAGTTCAATACAACCGGCACTGCAGGCTACCCTGGTCATAGGGTGGCTGAGGAATCGGGACTGAGAGAAACCAAGAGCCTGGCTGGTCGCAGGCGATCGCGGCGGAAAACCACGCCCGCAAGCCTGGGGCCAATCAGAGTGTGAGCGAAGGGTCATGATCCCGGAACCCGCCAGGCCGCTCTCATGACCCATTCCGTAGACAGGATGGAGGACGAAACAGTGTTAAATCAAGAAGCTTTAGACCTCAGGAGGCTGCCCTCGAAGACTGAAAAGAACTACCGGTACCTGCTTCAGCGTTAACGTCACTGGGGGTAAGCGTGCAGCGACCATTTTCGCCAGGCGGGCAGGGTGTCCTCCTGGAGCCTTAGTGCGCAGGAGCGGAAGTGAGGTAAGCGGTCATGGGGCGGGCGAGCTCGGTTTCCTAGGAGACGGCCTGCGGGTAGTGCTAGGCCTGCGAGAACTGGTCTGTCCCGACTGGAGCCCGGAGCTCTGCACCGGTTACTAGCTCCTTGGCTCAAGTTTTCTCCTCCGTAAGTGGACTCAAACCACAGGGTTAGAGGGTTGTTTTGATATATATGTTCAACTTCAATACCTTGACTACTTTGTATTATATTGGAGTTCAATTTTTTTTTTTGAGAGGTTTTCGCTATAGGGCGCGTGCACTCGCCAGAGAGACAGAGACAGGGAGACAGAAAGCGAGAAATCACCCCCCAGGGGGGATGGTCACGCCGCAATCCCTTCTCCTCCCTTCTCTTGGGATCTTGGGCACGCACGGACAGGAACCCGGCCTGAGTTTAAGCCACCGGGTCTGGGACGCGAACCGCGGTCGACTACGTGGGAGTCCAGCGACATAGCCATTATGCTAACTGCTGGTCCCTACATTTTATTGTTGATGGACTTTTTTTTCTTGTACCTCTTTTGAGCCTCTTTTCTTTTCTTTTCCTTTTTTTTTTTTTTTATTGCCAGAGGATGCGTACGCAGGACAGAGAGAAAGTGCCTGGTCAACCCACAATCCCTCTCCCATTTTTCCATTTTGTGGGGCTTTGGGGCACACACGCACTCCGACAGGGTGTTTTTCCAGCACAGGCTGGATTTGAACTGTGGTGGGCCCTGTGAGATCCGGCTCCCTTAACCACTAGACCATCAGCCTATCTTTCAAGCCTCTTTTCAAGTGCATTTGGTTGAAAATACTAAAATTCAAAATGTTTATTTTAAAAGTTGTGCCCTGGTCTTGTTTTTCTCATTTTACCCTGTTCTTTTCTACTGCAAGCATTTCCCAGAGTGGTTGGTATTTAAAATCATTTGTATCAAGGCTTTAAATGGCTGCCCCACTCTGGTTTTAATCACTGATTAAGGAGGAACTGAACACCCCAACACCTCAAGGTTTTATTTCCTCAGAGCTGTTTTCCCACAACACACACTACATCCCCTTGGCTTATATTACTGGAAGTGGGATTAATTAACCTTTGCCATATTACTTTTCCAAATAGTATTCCACCAAATCAAAATAAAAACCAAAATGTCCATTCAGTTAAATATCTCTTCACTTTTAGTTACACTGATTATGTGAATTGTTCATGACTTGGGTCCATTATGTGATAATCAGGACGTTCCTAGTTTTATATAGGCTGTTTGGTCTATTTGTTTGGATCCTTTTTTTTATTTTGCAGTTACAGAAGCTTTAAGTCTTTAACCATGTGGTTTTTTGCTGGTTTTTTTTTGTTTTTTTTTTTTAACCATGTGGTTTTTTGCTGTTTTTGTTTGTTTGTTTGTTTGTTTTTTGAGGCATTTCATTTCCCATTTACAGTTTCATAATTCAATTTTTTAAACTTTTTCATATTTTCTTGAGAGAAATTTTTGCTATAGGGCACATACAATCACTGGAGACAGGCAAAAAGAAAGAAATCAACTCCTCCAGGGGAGATAGCCAGGCCAACGCCGCAATCCTTTCTCCATTCTCTTCAGGTTTTGGACAAGCACGCAGTGCATGTGCCCAGTGTGGGGTTCAAGTCTCTAAGTCCAAACTGCAGTTGACAACTGGGAGTCAGTGATGTAACCATTATGGCATCTGCTGGTCCCAAC